CCATGGTGTGGGAATGTGTCTGTTTTGGCAGCTAGGTGATGCAGTGGAAAGTTCCCTAGGCATGGGTTCAGGGAGTTATTCAGTCACATCCAACCTTTCATGACTCCGTGGACCACAGTGCACCAGGCCCTTCTATACTCCCATCATCTCTTGGAGTCTGTCCAAGCTCATGTCCGTTGCTTCCCTGACACCATCTCTCCATCTCATTCTCTGCCATCCCCTTTTCCTTTTGCCTTCAATCTTACCCAGCATCAGAGTCTTTTCCAATGAGTATGTGGTCAAAGAATTTAAGCTTCAGTATCTGACCTTCCAATGAAGTATTGACTCTAAGTATTGACTGATTTGATCTCCTTGCTGTCCAAACTACTCTCAAAAGTCTTCACCAGCACAATTCAAACACATCGATTCTGCAGCACTCAGCTTTCCTTATAGTCCAGTTCTCATGGCCAGACATTGCTACTGAAAAACCCTAACTCTGAATATGTGGACCTTTGTCAGCAAGGTGATGTCTCTGCTTCTTGGTCTGCTGTCCAGATTTGCCCTAGATTTCCTTCCAAGGAGTGTCTTCTAATTTCATGTCTGTAGTCTCTGTCTGCTGTGATCTTTGATCCCAAGAATAGGAAATCTGACCCTGCTTCCATTTCTTCTCCCTCTATTTTCCAGGAAGTGATGGGACCATTTGCTAAGATCTTAGTTTTTTTTTTTTGATGTTAAGCTTCAGGCCAGCTTTGACGCCCTCCTCTTTCAGCCTCATCAGGAGGCTTCTGAATTCCTCTTCACTTTCTGCCATCAGAGCGGTGTCACCTGAATGTCTGAGGTTGTTGATATTTCTCCCAACAACCTTAATTCCAACTTTTGATTCCTCCAACCTGGCATTTTACATGATGTGCTCTGCGTGTACGTTAAATAAATCAGGTGACGGCATACAGCCTTGACTCCTTTTCCAATCTTAAACCAAACAGTTTTTCCATGTTTGGTTCTGTTTCTTCTGGGCCCAAATATAGGCTTTGCAGGAGACAAGATGATCTGGTCCTCCCATCTCTTGGAGGATTTGCCACATTTTGCTGTGATGCACACAGTCAAAGGCTTCTGTGTAGTCAATGAAGCAGAAGCAGATGTTTTTCTGGAACTCTCTCTTGCTTTCTCCACAATCCAGCGAATGCTGGCAATTTGGTCTCTGGTTCCTCTGCCTCTTTGGAAACCAGCCTGTTCTTCTGCTACTTCTCAGTTCACATATTATTGAAGCCAAGCTTAGAGAACTTTTATAATAAATAACGTTGCTGGCGTGTGAAATGAGTGCAATTTTTCAGCACTTTGAACATTCTTTGGCATTGCCCTTCTTTAGGATTGGGATATAAACTGATCTTCTCCAATCCAGTGGCCACTGTTGAGTTTTCCAAATTTGCTGGCATGTTGAGTACAGCACTTTAACTGCATCATCTTCTAGTAGCTTAGCTGGAATTCTATCACCTCCATGGGCCTTATTGTTAGCAATGCTTCCCATGGTCCACTTGACTTCATTCTGGACTCAGGACTCAGGAAGACCTAAGTTCAAATCCAGCCTCAGACACGCGTAGCTGTGTGACCCTGGGCAAGTCACTTCACTGCTGCTTGTCTCAGTTTTCTAATCTGCAAAATAGGAATGATTACAGTACCTACCTCTCAGGGTTGTGAAGATCCAAACAGTGCTAAGAACAGTGCCTGGCACATAGTAAATGCTATGTGAATGACAGCAGGGGCAGCTAGGTGGCTCAGTGAATAGAGTGTCAGACCTAGAGTCAGGAAGACCTGAGTTCAAATCCAGCCTCAGATACTTACTAGCTGTATGATCCTGGGCAAGTCACTGAACCTTGTTTGCCTCAGTTTCCTCATCTGTCAAATGAACCAGAGAAGGCAATGGCAAACCACTCCAATGTCTTTGCCAAGAAAACCCCAAAAGGGGTCAACAGAGAATTGGACGTGACTGAAACAAGTGAACAACAAAAATGTTGGCTATTATTTTTTATTATTATTTTCCCACAGCCTCATCCAACATTCGCCATTCTCCTTTTTTGTTGGCTTTGCCAATCTGCTGTGTATGAAGCAGAACTTCAGAATTCAATTTGCATTTCTTTAATGATTAGTCATTTTGAAGGTTGGGGTTTTTTCTCCATATATATACAGCTATTGTTATCTTGGAGTTCTTCCTCAGGGAACTGCCTGTTTGTCTTCTTTGACCATTTTTCAACTGGGGAATGGCTCGTATTCTCATACATTTGAATTTGTGTCTTATATAGCTTGGAGATGAGGTTCTCACCAGAGAAACTTGCTCTACAAAAGAAGAAAGAAAAAGAAAAAATGGGTATTTTCCTTCCAGTTATGTTTTCCTCTAAAATTTAGCTGCATTGCATCATTTTTGCCTATGCAAAGTCTTTTTTAATTTTATGTGATTGAAATTGTCCATTTCATCTTCTGTGATCTCCTCCATCCCTTGTTTGCTCATGAACTCTTCCCCCTGTGCATAGATACACAGATAAGGAAACTGAGGGCCAGAGACATTAAAGTGACCTGCCTAAGATTACAAGGTAGGAGGTGTTAGAGACAGGATTTGAACTCAGGTCCTCGACTCTGGAGCCCATGTTCTTCAGGCATAAACACATAGAGTCCCAGAGAACATTTCCTGGCTTCAGACTCTGTCGGGCTTGACACCCAGAGGTTCCCCTCAGCCTGCCGCCGACCATGAGCTCTACCTCTCACTGTTCTTCTCATCTTTCTCTTTCACCTACTTCTGTCCTCTGACTCCACACCTGACATCAGCATACGCACTCCCTCCCAACTTGTGCCCTGTCCCCAAGCCCAGGGGCTTTCCTCAGTACCAAGAGCTGGGCTCAGCTGCCCCCAGGACACACCCATCAGGGTGATGGAGGACCCCTCATCCTTGGTTCTGGGTGCAAGGCCTCCTTCAGAAGGTACCAGGGAGGGTGGCACCTCTATCCATCTCCGGGCTTTGTTGGAACCACCCGAGATAATTGCTCCCTGCAATCTAAAAGTCATAACTTGCAGGAGGCAGGGGAACAGTCTCTGTGCTTTGGAGACCAAGCTTGGCACACACACAGAATTACCAACATAGAAAATATATCACCAGGGAGAGGCAGCAATTACTTCCTTTCTACAGCATGCAGGCCATTTGCCACTCTCCTCTTCATTAAAGAGTCTCAGATGAATTAGCTTTCTCAAACGCCTCGGAGCACTTAAGCTCTTCTCTCCTGGGAGAATCGGGCCCTTCTAAAGATCTTTACCTGGCTGCAGCGAGCCAGCACAGGCCCCCAGGGGCAGCTGCCTGGCAGAAGGACCTGCAAACTCTCATCACAGAGTCAAAAGGGAGGCCAGCACATCTGACCTCCTCAGCTTGTAAATGAGAAAAGTGGGGCCCAGGGAAAGGATGTGATTTGTCCAAGGTCACTCAGGCAGTGAGGATTGGGTGGGATTTGAACCCAGTTCTCTGGCTCCAGAGCCCGGCACCACACTGTCTCCTGGGTGGGTGCTCTCGAACAAAAGTCCTGCAAGTGGATGAGAGAGGGCATCAGCAGGTCAGACCCATGGTCAGCACGAAGAGAAGGCAGGAGGATGGGCGGGAGGCATGTGCCACAGTGCCAGCCCATGTGAGGCAGCAGGTCCCTGGGCTTCAGGCAGAGGGAGCAGGACAGCTAGGGCCAGTCTCAGGATGGAGGGAGGCTGGCACTGCCTCCCCTGGCCTTGTGAGTGAACCTAAAGGAAGTTGTGCTTCCTGGGGACAGACACTAATTGCCCAGCAGCCCTGTTGGGAAGACATGAGCCTCGTCTCTGGTGCAGAGAACAGCAGATTATAGGGTGGGGGAAGCCCAATTGCAGGCAGGGAACAGAGACTCCATTAGTGTGACTTTGTCCCTGAAAGCCCAGAACCTCTCAACAGGCCATGAGCCCATCCCAGGGACCCCCAACCTGAAAGCCACATCAGGCACCACTGGATTTTGGAAATGTGAAACTGTTGTTTTCTATTATTGCGGGAGGGCAAAAAGTCTCCTCCTATTCCCGACCTCCTTGGCGGTCTAGGGCCAGTCTGCAAGGGGGCTGCACCAGGCTGGACTCCGAGTGAGTGTGTGCCTGAGCATCTTCTGGGCTGCTCCTTTCCAAAGGCAGAGAGAACCGAGAGTCTGACAAGCAGGAGAAAGTCCAGGGGAAGGCAGCGAGGCCAGAGAAGGGCCTGGAGTCCATGCGGCAGGATTCTTTGAGGGAGCTGCAGGTGTTTAACTGGGAGAAGATGGGGCTTGGGGGGAGGATCCTCAAGTATTTGGAGGGCTGCCATCTCTAGGGAGATGAGCCTCCTTCTCCTTGGCCCCACCGATGGGGCAGAGGATGGGTGGAAGTGTCAAAGAGACCACTCTGGGGTCAGGAAATATTTCCCAACTCTTAGAGCTGCCCCGGAAGGAGGGAGCTGCTTTGGGAGGGAGTCTTTGCTTCCTTGGAGCACTGCAAGCAGAGGCTGGCGGGCCTTCCTTTCAGGGACGGCGGCAGCTGCTGATCTCTCCTCCAGCACTAAGGCTCTCAGGTTCTGTGACGGCGCATTCCCTTCCTTTCCACAGGAGGCTTTCTCCTGCTTGGGATCAAAAGGGCCACACGTTCACTGGACATTTTTCTAAACGTGTGGCCAAGAGTCCTGTGCCCGAGCAGGGGTGCTTGGCCATCCCCCTGGCCTAGGTCCAAACCATAAGAAGGATGTGCCCGTAGTCATTCAGGGGCCTTCCTCACTTCTTAAAACCTGGGACCTACCTCCCTTATTTCCCTATACATACAGTCCCTAGGCACACGTGGGTGTGCACACATACAATCACACATATCACACACTCACACATGCATACACATCACACACAATCACACACATCGCACATATACTCAGACATCACACACTCACATACACACACACACACTGTGAAAGTATGGGAAGCCATAACTGTTGTCTGATCCTAACTCTGCCTTTGCAGGAGGGCCTGAACAGAGCACTGAGCAGGGCCAGAAAGACTGTCCGGCACTCACCAGCCTTGGTAAGCATCTGGGCTCACACCAGTGAGCAGCCCCTTCCTCCGCTGTGCCCCCTGAGCTGCCAAGGGGCCCGGGAAGAGCTGGCTTTCAGAGCTCTGGCCAAACCCTGGGCATGACCTTCTCTTTTCTCTCTGGGTCACTCACTGCGTGTGACCAGTGGCATTTGGGGGACCTGGAACACTCTCCGTGAGACTTTAGGCAAGTCACCTAACTCTGAGCTTCATTGTCCTCATCTGAACAAATAAAAGGGGGGCAGGGTGGTGGTTTGACCAGATGACCTCAATGGCCCTTTCAACCCTAAATCTATTCTAATTCCATTCAACAACAGTAGTAAATTATGCTACTGGCCTCCCCGCATGTTTAGGGGTGGCCATTTTGGACAAAGAATGGTAATTGATATCGGTATGGCCCTTCAAGGCTTAAAACGTTGTTTGTGGTCTTGGGGCTGCATTGTGCTTTAAAGAGCAAATTCCAACCAGGCATAGTCGCCCCTGCCCATAGCCCACCCCCACATAAGTTTACCATTTCCCCAAACCTTTCCACATCCCTGCTGCAGGATTTAGGCTCAGCCTGGAGAGAGAGCAGGAGAAAGGCCTCAGCTCTCCCCAGAGTCCATCCCTTGGTCAGGGAGCATCCCCTGCTGAAGAGAAATCTGAAGTGGAGGGGGAAGCTGCCCTCAAGAAGGTCTGAGTCTCCATGTTGGCCTCATCTTCCTCGTGTTCCAAATTCCCTTTGAGACAGTGACTACTTTGGAGCTGGGCCTGAGCCTGGGGCTGCCCATGCCCATGCCCATGCCCATGCCCGGGGGCCATATACGTACCATGGAGCCATGGAGAGCCCCAGGGCTCTGGACTGGCTGTCAGCCCTCCCTCCTCAGTGGCCTCTAAGCCCCTCCCACAAAGGCAGCCAGACATGAGCTAGTAGTCTTCCCTCCCATCCCTTCTTCCTGTTGGGAATAAGCCAGCTCGCCTTCTCTAGACAGCAGCAGCAACACCACAGCTCCCACATTCAGACCAATGCTCCTGTCATGGTGTTCCTGAATTTAATCCATGGGGACTAAAAGTATGATGACTGTCACCTCCAGAGCCTCAGAACGTCTTGGCATCAGTAACAGCCACATTTCTGTAGCTTTAAGGTTGGCTAAGAGCTGTTAGGTGTGATCTCACTGGGTCCTCGAACAACCTGGAGGTGCTATTATTACCCCATTTACAGATGAGAAAACTGAGGCAGACATGGGGGGGGTGACTTGCCCAGGGTCACAGAGCTAGTAAGTATCTGAGGGTAGATTTGAACACAGGGCTTCCTGACTCAAGGCCCAGAACTCTATCTTCTTTCACTCTAGATGTTTCATAAATGCTTATTGACTTGATTCAAATCCTCATCTGCAGGTAAATTGTGGGGTCTGTAAAGTGCCTCATGTGTTATGCGTACAGGTGCCAAGGCATTTAAACTCTCTGGCCCCCTATCTCTGGCAGCATTGGGCAAATGCCCTTATGGATTTTATTTCCTCCTCTCCCGTGTAATTTTTAGACAGGAGACATGTGGTTCCAGCTAAAAGTAAGGGTAGGTCTGGCCTATAAAGCTGAATGTGGAATGTAGATGCATAATTATAATGTGGCTCTATTATCTGGTACTTAATAGGACCAGAGAGAGAGATGATAGCCCTGTGACCATGCTAGCATGGATAAGGGGACATGACTCCTGACTGGCTGAGAGAATTCTGAGCTGGGACACAGCATGCCTGTGTGAGTGGAGAAAGGATTTGGAGGACTTGGAGACCGCAGAGAGAGACAAGCTTGGATTTTTGAATGGCAGACAGGAGATCTCCCTGAAATCCCAGACACATGGGAGCTGGCTGCCAACATGTCCCTTGACTTCCATAGCTTGCAATCGTAGGGACTGCTGAAAGTAGACTGTCGGTGAGATAATTTTCTCTCTGCTTTAGTAAGCTAAGATCCTTCTCCTAACTCAACTGAAGTCCCCATTTATTCTTGTGTATTCTTTGGCCCATTCTGTTTAATGCTTACTTTGATAAAGATTTAGTTCACTAATGACCATTCATGGTGGTCATTAGTGTAACTAGTATTGGATGGAAATGAGTTAAGCAGGTGATAATAAGCTTCCCTTGAGAATGATGAAGGAAAATGATCTTTGTCCAAAGTGTTATATCCTTGGATACCAGCCATTTGAGATAATATGGTCAATAGAATATTAGCCTAATACCATTTGAGACAGGCAAGGGAAGGACCAGGTGCCTAGCCATGACTGACCCTCCTCCTGCTCCCCCAACCGTCAGAAATTACGATGCCCGTTGGAAAGGGGTGGGCCAGATCTCTGATTGGATATTTATTCTTGTGACCCATAAAGCAAGCTGGCTTTATATTAGACACATTATAAAAAATTTACATATCTTTACCAAGTTCTTTCTATGGGTCATGATTGTCCTCTCCTCCCTATTCTCTGAACTATAGGATGAAAATTAGAAAGGAAGGTTGGGGAGAGGGGTTCAGGATGGGGAAACATGGGTGAGGCAGCTGGGGCAGGATCTGGAAAACCAGTGCACAGAGATTCCTGGGGCCGAGCAGCTCGGGGTAGATTCTGGGGAGATGCTAGGAGCCTTGAAGAATGAGGAAGATTAGGCTCAGATCAGAGGATGGGGGCTGGCCTTCCTTGTTGACAGAGACAAGTAGGAGAAAATCCATAGGCTGAATGTGCCTGAAATATTAGGGGACATTGAGGACAGCAGCCTGAGACAGGTGGGGCAGTAGGGCCAGGTTGTGGGCAGCCTTAAAGTCAGGGGGAAATGCCACCTGGGTCCTTGCCAGCAGCTCACAGCCAGCCAGGACCTAACCGATCCTCCTCTCCTTCTAGACTAGCCCTGGCGGCATGAAGGGGATCTGTTCAATCCCTGCTTTGGCCAAGATCTGTCAGAAAATTGAATAGTAAGTATGCATCTCTACCTTCCTGAGCCCCTGTGTGTGACTCATTTTCAGTTCTGGCTTTTGGGGTCTTTTCCCTAGCGTCATTCAGGGTCAAAGGAACCTTCAGGATCATTCCACTCAACCCCCCTTGTTTTACAGAGGGGGAGATATGCCCAGAGAGTGGGGATGTCTAGCCCACCCCCCGGTCCCACAGCGACTTAGACCCAGAAACAGATTCCAGTTCATGGAATCTCCCCCCAGCCCACGCTCGTCTGGTTTGCAGCGAGCTTGGGAAGGGACCGTGTCGGTCAAGGGTGGCCTTCATCATCCTCCAAACCAGAAAAGGGGTTAAGCTGAGCTAGTTGGCTACCAAGTTGAACATCAGCCAGGGGACCAGCTCATCTGAGGGCTTAAAACACGCTCATCTGTTTCAAAGTCTTTTAAAAACCATGTCTTTAAACGTGGTGCTGAATTGGTGATGACCTGTTCAGCCTAGCATGAGAAATGCTGCACCCTTTCTGGGCAACAGGGTCAGGCAAGGGAAAAAAAGCCATCCATAATCAACAGGTATTACCCTCTCCAAGTGCCCAATGTGGATGCAGCTTACAACATGTGTGTTGGGGATGGGGTAGGACCCGGACATGGCACATGAAGAGGGTCTGTCTAAGGACCGGACCCATCCCTGTTCAGTCTAGAGCGTGTGTATATGGGGGGGGGGGCATACTTCTGTATGTTCATGAGGCAAACTGAAGCTTTCCTTTGCCAGACACTCGGGAGGGCTGCATGACCTCTGCATAGGCAAAACTTTAGGGGACACACAATATCGATGAGACAGCAAAGGAGACCAAGGAGAGGTCAGAGAGGCAGGAGGAGAACCAGGAAAGAGCCACATTAGGCTAGCTGTCCCTCTTTCTAGAAGCCCACAGGAATGCCACATTAATTACTGGCCAATAAGCGAGATCATCTCTCTTCCCATTCATGAACAGCCTTGGGACTTTTCAGTGGTCACTCCTTTATCAATAAGTCAATCAACAAGCATCAATAAAGTTCCTACTATGTGCCAGACACCATGCTAGGCCCCAGTGATACAAGCCCAAAGAATAAAATGATCCCTTCTTGCAATGAGCTTACATCCTAATGCAATCATCGATATCAGCTGGGATGGGAAAAAAAAACCCAGGAAGAGGAAAAGCTAATGCTTCTGTAATGCTTAAAGGTGTGAGAAACCCTGGATGTTTCATCTCGTCTAATTCCTGTTACATCTCACTTCACTGTGATCACAGGACAGTTTGTCCTTCTTCCATCTAACCAGCAGCCAGGATTCTCAAAAGTGCTGATTCCAAGCCCTAAGATCCATCTTTGCTCCAGACCTGACTCTTCTCCAATGAAGCCGAATTGGCCCACCCTAGCTTGGAGTGACCCCTACTGCACTCCACCCTAGCTCAGATTGATGCCCTCCCCATCCCAGCTCAGACTCGTGTAGTCCTGAGGGATCAGGGGGACGGGGTGGGGGAGGAGCTTATGCCACATCTGAAATCTGGGACTGGATCTCAACTTCCACTTTCATTCAAGCCCAAACCGTCAGAGTTCGTGCAGTGGCTGCCCACTCCTGACCAATGTCCAGGTGGATACAACATACATGTCTCTTTTTCAATCTCCTTCCTTCTGTGTCCTAAAGCTCACCCAGGAGGTCTTTCAAGGGCAAAGGAAAAGGAACCTTGAGGTGTACTCAAGGAAATGTCTATCTGCCCACACTGTCCTCCCTTCCCTGGCGCCTCACCGATCTATCTCCTCAGTCAAAGCTTCCAAAGGCAGGCGGGGCTCTCAGGAACAGCTGCAATGGTGGTGAGACTTGACAATCATGGGTACAGGGCAGGTAGGTGGCCCAGTGTATAGAGCTCCAGACTTGTGGTCAGGAAGACATGAGTTCAAATGTGACCTTTCGTCATTTAACTTCTTTTTGCCTCACTTTCCTCATCTATAAAATGGGGATGATCATGATTGTTTTTGTTGTTCAGCCATTTGTGTTTTTGTGTTTTCCTAGTCATGTCCTACTCTTTGTGACCCCATTTGGGGTTTTCTTGGCAGAGATACTGAAGTGGTTTGCCACTTTCTTCTCCATTTTACAGATGAAGAAATGAAGCAAAAAGGGTTAAGTGACTTGCCCAGGGTCACACAGCTAGTAAGTGTCCTAAGGCCAGATTTGAATTCAGGAAGGTGGTTCCAAGGCCACTGCTCTATCCACTGCCCTACCTCAATGCCCTCCCATGATTGCTGTGGGGATTAAATGAGATAATAATTATAAAGCACCTGGCACATAGTAAGCACTACACGAACATTAGCTGCTGCTGTCATCACCATCATCATCACCATCATCATCATCACCATCACCATCAAGAAGCTCGGAAGGGGAACGGGTTCTGAGGGGAAGAGCTGCTGCTGCCATTGCATTTCTGTGTCACTCTAAGTATTGCTGAGATGTTATCTCCTCTGATCCTCACAGTAGACTTTGTGAGCTAGGTACCATTATTATCCTCACTTTTACAGGTGAGGAAACTGAGGTAGGCAGAGATTAAGTGACTTGTCCAGGGTCACGTAGATCATAAGTGCCTGAGGCAGACTTCGAACTCAGGGCTTTGTGTCTTCAAGTCCAGCACTAAACACTGCAGCCCTAGCTGCCCCACCCTTGTGGTCTGGAGTCTTGGCTCAGCCAATGAATAGGGAGTTATGCTGCTCCCCCCTGGATTGCCTCCAGGCTACGTCAGAGGAAGCCATCTGAAGGAGTTCCTACTGATGATGAAATGTCTTGGGGTGCTCAGCTGAAGAGACTGAATTCTGTCCAATGAAAGCACAAATGAAACTGCTCTGATTTCAAGAGCAGGTGGTGAAGGAGTTGGCTAAGCCAAAAGGGGTGGAGTGTGTGTGTGTGTGTGTGTGTGTGTGTGTGTGTGTGTGTGTGTGTGACAGGAGAGAGGGGAGGCAAAGAGAGACAGAGACAGTGACAGAGAGACAGAGACAGGAGGGAAACCTTATTCTGGGGGGCAGGGGAGAAAAGACGCAGCTCGTGGTGGGAGCGGGGGAGCAGGGGAGCACGCCTGCGCATCACTCCTGGTTTCGTGGGTTTTATAATAAGCCTCTCGGGTCCCATAAAATGGGGAGCATCAGCTTTCCATTCCCAGCCATTGATGGCTTTAGTTGTGACCAGGCCTGGAGCTGCCTTTCGGGATCCTGACAAGGCTCTCCTCTTGTTGATTCCTAGCGTTCTCAGCACGACCCTGCCCTTTGAAGACACAGATGGGGACAAGTTCAGCATTTTCCCTGTGAGTACGAGGATGCCGCTGCCCGCTAGATGTTTTCTCAGAATGTCTCTTCCTTTGCGCAAATCCCCTCTCCTTAGAACAGATGGGATTTACTGTATTTTAAATGTGAGGTGGATTGGGGGATCTATGCTCTTTTAAGATGGTCTGCACATCAGCTGGTCAGTCCCATCACCAACATTTGGTAAATATCTACTAGGTGCTTTCATCATCACAACTGGCATTTATAAAGCATTTTAAGAGGAGTATAAAACCATTTGCAAATACCTAAACAACCATCTGAGGTCAGTCAGTACAACAGATACTGTCCCCATTTTCCAGATGAGAAAACTGAGGTACAGGGAGATGAAATCCAGGATCATAAGTGACAGAGGTAGTATTTGACCTCGAGTCCAGCCCTCAGTCCTCTCCTTCATATTGTGGCACAAATGCCCATAAAGAAGACAGAATCCCAGTATTTTTAAAAGATCTCATGAAACTTTCAATAATTCTCAAAACAATTCTAACTTTAAAAATTAGCCAAGATCATTTAGCATGCTTCACAGGGGATGGAGGAGCAAATGTCCAAAGGTCACCTCATTTCCATCTTGCCAATGTCTTAGAATAGCAAGATGGCAAGGCCACCTGCTAAGTCAGCTTGGATTGGCTTTGCCCTTTGCCCCTCACTGCTGCTGACTCCTTCAATGATCCAATCACCATTCAATGTCCTTTTTCACTAAATGGCTCTGTTGTTTGACTCGAGCAGCCTCCTTGAAGGAGTAATGGTAAAATGGTAATAAATGGTCTTGGAACTAGATTGTATTACGGTGGAATATGAAGCTATTGAAGACCTCAGGAGAAAGATGTGGTGTAGACCCCAATACCTGATGCCATGCGGTTCTACCCCACATGACTCCCATTACAGTGAATTTGGCTAGAACTGGGCTGGCTTTGACTCAGAGAGAGAAAACTCAAAGGAGCTGTACCAAGATGGCCAGTAGCCTTGAACCTAAGCCCTGTTAGTTTCAGTTGCAGGACCTAGGGGTGATTATTTTGGAGAAGAGAAGGCTCAGGGGGCCAGGACAGCTGGGTGAAAGTGCCTTCTGAAGGAATGCCATGAGCAGCACTAGGAGCAGTGGGGTGGGGGGAAGCGGCCAGAAGGCAGGCTCCATGTCAATGTCAGGAAAGCCTGCCTAGGTATGTGATCCATCACAGAAAGGGCTGGGTTGTCCAGAAAGTAACTTTCACTGACAGGTCCTTGTTCAGGTCCACGTTGGACTAGAAGCCTCTGAGGTCCCTTTTAGCCCCTCCACTCTGTGCCTAGGAGGCAACGACATCTGAGCACTTTGAGATCTAGGATGACCCTGACCTCAAATAATGGAAAAGTCACCAGAATCATCTCTGATGTTTCAGACTTTGAGAGGCTTTTACTGGAGAGGACGAGACTGCAATGACAGAAACAGGAACATCTACCCAGGCCGACGGTAACATTCCCAATTGCCCAGAGGTTTTTGAAAATTATCTCATACAAAGGTGGACTCCTTCCAAGCTCCCAGCCCACTCATTCAGTCTCATTTGTAGCAAGAAGGGCCCAATGTGCATCCACTCAAGGGGAAAGGCAACTGCACAAATTAGTTACTTACGTCACTGAAGGGATTTGGGCTTTAGAGTTCAGTTCAGTTGTCCTTAGGTGCAGCATCTGCCGTGGGGCCTAGAAGGGCAGCCACCTGGCCCTGAGAAAGAGCGCAGATGGCTCAGTCCATCCAGTCTCTATCGAGTTCACCAGAACAAGGAGACGTGGCATTTGGCTTTAACTGGGCTGTGTCTGCCTGGCTCTCAAACGTAGATTGAGAGCTGGGATGGACCTGAGGAACCCTTCAGTCCATTGCCCTCATTTTAGAGATAAGGACATTGAGGTACAGAGAGGTTAAGTGATTTTCCCAGAGTCCAGCCAGTTGAGTTATTTCTTTTAAATTGACCAGACATTATGGAGTCCTATATGGGCCACTTCAAGGGAGCTGTAGATCCAGCCAACATTAGCAGACTAACACATGGCTGTTCTGTGTATCATGTCCGCAGAGAGCAGAGGCAGAGGTCTTCAGAACATAAGTGACTCGTGGTAGTCATTGGCATCAATCACAAAGGCAGCTGGAATTACTGGGCTGGCCACGCCACCACTCACATCATCCATCTGGTATTCAGAGTCAGGACCATGTGTATGTGCCATGTGGCGGGTGTCAGTGGTCCACAGCTTCCATAAATATTTATGTTAAAAAAACAAAAGCTAATAGGGCCTATTTCTTTGGGGAAAGTCTCGATTTTCCTTCAGCGACACCACCCTTTTGGGTAATAAGTATCTATTTTGTTTTTCCTCTTCAGCCCAGAAAACTGGGATGCACAACAGGATTCCAACTGTAATGGCATTTGGGTAAGTCACAGAAATGTGATCCTGACCTCCCTTCTGAATTTGCCATCCCTTACAAAGAGCCTTGTTCTCTGCACTGGCCAATTCAATTCAGGATGTTTTCACGTGCCAAGCACTGTGCTAAGCTCTGGGGATTCCAGGACAAAGAATGAAGCGATCCCTGCCCTCAAATTGCTGTTTAGTGAGGGGAAAACAACATGACAGAGAAGTCAACGCGCGAGTGAAACAGCAAACAAAATCAAAATGATTTCAGGGCAACACCAACAAGCTGGAGAATATGGACAAGTAGCACTTGGACTGAGCCTGAAAAAGAACTGGGAGTCTCAAGAGACAGAAGTGAGGAGAGCCTTCCAGGCACGTCGGGAACAGCCTGTGCAAAGCCCTGGAAGCGGTAGATGGAATGTTAACATGGAGACCAAGCAGCTTGGCTGGAAAGTATAGAGTACAGGAGAGGAAGTAATGGAAAGGTGAAGTCTACAAAGATATGTTGGAGCCCCAGGATTATCGGTTTGGAGGTTCAAATGAAGAAGTTGACATTTTCTCCTGGAGGCAACATAGAGTCACTGAAGTTTCCTGAGAAGAGGCACCATGATGGATCGGACCTGTGCTGTAGCAATGTCTAGGTATTTGGCATCTGTGGAGTAGAGAGAGGAGCTGGAAGCTGGGAGATGGCTCTGCTAATTGGACAAAGTGAGGTCATGTGAGGACCCTCTCTTCTGGGACTCTGGAGGAGCAAGCTGTAGACTACTGAAGGCAGAACAGCCACCTGGGCAGGAGGGGCATGGGGATGGCTCCCTCAGTTCTGACATGGCTAAAGTGGAATGGAAGCTCCTTGAGGGCACCTTCATTTTTGTCCTTGCTTCCCCATGCTTGGCACACAGTAGGTACTCATGTAATCATTGCTTCTTGGGTTTGTCATTGAATTAAAGGCTCAGTGTAAATTTGCATGGAAGGAGGTTTTTATGCCCCATTTCCTTTCCATAAGTTATCAGCAAACCAAAGAGGAAGTAAGTGATTGAGGCATGGAATTCCAGTGCTCTAATGGCTGGACAAATGCCCTGCTGCCTCAGCTCCCTTAGCCCTGTTTTTCACAGTCCTGCATCCCAGCCAGCCTACCCACAGCCAAGCACCACACTCTCCTCTAGGGTCCACAGCTGGCCACCCAAGCCTTCCCAACAGGTTATTGGACAGAAAGCTAGAAGGAGCCAGAATGCTCAAGAAGACCTGGATGCATACACGGTGTGAATGTGTACCCAGGGCTCTGGACTCACAGGTCTAGGCACATAGTGGGGACAGTCTGTGTTCACAGCCACCAGCAGTCTGCTTTCAGTGCCTCCCTCCCACATACTCAGTTCTCCTCTGGCCTAAAATAAACCCAGCTGCTGCCACCATCCCTCTGCCTCCCACCACAAAGCCATTGGCTCATTTGTTGACTTCTTCCATCTCTCTACCTCAGGGGTTGATAGAAAGGCCTAATCCTATTACCAAGCCCTTCAGCAGGACTTCAGAGATCTCCTCCAGAGGGACATTAATAAATGAATCAGCACTCTTTGGGCAGAGATATTCAAACAGCAACATTATCTACTGGGCACTTATCAGATGACTGCCCTCAGGGGTTAGCCCGAATCATAAAAGATGCCAAACATCTTGCTAAAGTAATAATTCCTTGAAACGATGGCATTCGCCTGATCTACCAAGCAACATATCTGCGCAACAAGGAAGTTGGTTGGAATTACATCTGATTTATTCTTAATGCAGGCTGGCTCCCCCGGGGCCCCTGAAAAGAGGCAGTGTGGTGCAGTAGGAAGGACACTGGCCTTCTAGGGTTTGAGCGCCAGCCCTGCCCTTTAAACACCCGCGTGATCCTGGACAAGCCATTGATCTTCTCTAGGCCTCAGGTTCCTCATCTGTAAAATGAGAGCGCCTAAGGTTCCTTCCAGTCCTGAGCCTGAGAGCTTTCTTCTCTAAGTAATTTCAATTCAACAAGTAATTACTAAACACACATGATATGCCATGCCAAGCACATGGGATAAAAAGGCAGAAGTGAAACAGTCAATCCCGGATTTCGAGGAGCTTGCATTCAGCTGACCGATACATTCCAAAGCTCAGCCAGAGACCAACACCAACCTCACCAGGCAGCAATTCACCAAGTCCGCCTTCCCACTCAGGACAACACTTTCCCAGCTCTGGCCTCCTGGCACTCTGCCCATTCTTCACCATCTCTCAGGAATGGCCAATGGCAGTGGCCATGTGTTGTATCCTGGTGTGCAGTTCCTTTGGGCCTGGACAATGAACAGTTGCTCAAAAAATGCTCTCCTATCTTGGGTTTTAATATCTTCCTTCCCACCACTTTTTCAAATAGGAAATTTGTTCTCCTTGGTGAAGAAGGAAAGAAAAAAAATAAAATATTAGACATTCTTTTTCTGTCATCTGCTAATAACTCACCAATCTGTCTACACAGTGATGGTACCTTGAGCTTATTGGTGGTAAACCAGCAGTTACTTGTGCTTAGCATTGTTCACCAGCCAATGGTCATTCTGGCCCTGGGTCTCCCTGAAAATACTGGTCCAGGGTCAATCCAGACTCTTGTGCTGTTCCTTTGTGATCTGCCTCTATCTATACTTTTGTATGAGCTCTCTAGAGAGCTGAGTTCAACAAAGAGCTCCTTTGGCAGCCACATCTATTTGTTACTTTTCCTCTGCTCCCCTCACTGGAAACTTTCTTTCTAATGCTCATGTGGCACCTTTTCTGGAGCTAAGCTCCCAACCCCCACCTGAGATAGCCACCGGATCTAGCAGTAGAAATAGGAGTGGGTGTCGCCTCCTCCCCTCAGGGCTCTGAGCCCAGCCCTGAAGGGTTAGGAGTTATTTTCTAATGCTATAACTCGAGCCCCCTTATGTGCCTCTGCCACCGCATGATCATCAGCTGATGTGCATGGGTTAGCCAGACTTAATTAGCTTAATTAGAAGGGGTATTTACTGGGATGATATAGTAAAAACAGTTGGTACAAATATCCTTCTTGCCCTCTCCCCAAGTAAATCTATGACCCATTTTTCTAGAGGAAGATGGGCTCATGCTTAAACAGCACACATAGCAAAAGGGTAACTAATGACTTTTGGTCACTAAAGTCTTTTTTCCCTTTGAAGAGTGCTCATGGAGCTCTCCTCAGGTGTAGTGTAGACTTCTGCTGAGTTCTTTACAAAATCCTGAAGCTATCTTTGTCTTGGAGTGTCCAGTTTGTCCTTGGCTCTCGTAGCAGACATGGTCACCAGCTACTGCTGGTCGAGTACGCTGCCAGGGCACCACTGAGAAGTTCCAAATCCTCTGACCTCCCAAAGTTCACAAAGATGTCTCTGGCCAAGAGTGGGGGGGGGAGGGAAGGAGACTGAGAGGTGAGGGGCTTTTCTACTCTCCCCCCACCAAAGTCGTTCCTTCTCAGGGGTTGATGGGAACACTTCTCTCCCTCCCCTGCCCAGGGTTCTCCTCAACTGCTGAGCTTCTGAATTAGCTTGCTATTTTATACAAAGCCCAACCAGTGTGGCCAAGTCTCACCCAGTTGAAATACACTTCCTGTGCCAAACGACTCCAGTCACAGAAATCCAGTGGGTTTCAAGGATTTCTAAATGGATCAAGTATTTTTTCTATATAAAGACTCTGAATGAAAGACTCATTCAACAGAGATGCCTCGGACACGTTCATACCTAGTTCACAATTCTGATTGATTATATCTGAGGAGACTTTTACCTGGTAACTATTTTGACAGCATCTTTAAGTGGGATGGGGTTAGTTGATTGACTCAATCCCTACCCTAACACTGATGGACAAGATTATTTTGTATGCTAACTGTTATATCAGGTCTGTACAGTTAGATCTGATCTGACCCATATCTGAACATGGATACAAATGTGTCATGGTGTGATACTACTATACTTTATTTGGGTATTTCATGCTTATTAATCTGCCATTTGAAAAGTATTTATTTTGTTTCATCAATTCACAAGTATCTCCTGATCTCTTGATTTCTTCCTTGACAGGGCATAGATCCGAAGGACGGCATCCCGTATGAGAAAAAATTCTGTGAAGGTACACCTCTCTCTCTAATACCTTATGTAACCTCAGTCCCAAAGCCTGTTGGGATGCGTGAAGGGCAGGGAGGAGCTGGAAAGAGTGGGAGAGAGGAGAGCTCTTCCTCATCACTTTGGGCACTGCTGGCATCCAGCTTCAAGAGCATAGGTAGATGAGGCCAAACCCACTTGGGGTTGCTGAAGGAAACAATTCAGGGAAGACATGCTGGGGACCTCGAAGTCTGAAGGAAGAAGAACATGAGGGCAGGGATTTCCTTGAAGTGTATCAGACGTCCAGTTCAGCAGCCAATTAAAAGTGTCACTCTGGCCAGTAGGAAACAGAGGGTATCTGTGCCTGCTCTGAAGTGAGGGAAAGGGCCCCTCTGTGATGCAACCCCAATGAGGCATGCTGCATGTACAAACTAAATGCCAGGTGAAGGGGTGGGCATTAATTGTGTGAATCAGGAAGGGAAGGGAATTGAAGGAGAGGGTACTTAAACTCAGCCTCAGGGAGTTAGGAATTCCTGAGGGACAGTGGAAGATGGAGAGGATGCCTAGCTTGGGAGCCACAGCCTGAGCCAAGTTAGGTCAGGGAGACAAGGTGTCATCCAGAAGGAACAGCCAAAAAGCCGTTTTACCTCAAGTGCACAGTGGTGAGCAGTGGGTGGTGGGTACTACCGAAGGGGTGTCATCTACAACCATTCTGGAAAGATCATCTGCAGCCCAACCCAGAAGGCTTTTGAGCGCCAAACAGAAGAGCCTGTGCTCATTCTAGAGGTGAGAAGGGGCTGAAGAGGCTTCGGGAGCCAGGGAGCACCATGGTCAGAAGTGTGCTTGAGGAGGATGGCTTTGGTGATGGGGTGTAGGGTGGAGTGGTGAAGGGGGAGCCTGGAGGCTCCTGCCATGGTACGCACAAGAGGTGACGAGGCCCTGAAATAGAACATTGCTTGTCTGAGCAGACCATGGGGATCAAGGAGAGACTGCCAAGGGGAAACTGACCAGAAGTGGTGCCATATTGGATTGGGGCAGGGGAGGGGGAAATGGAGGATGACCTCAAGGTCACAATCCGGGGGTTTCTGGAGGCGGGGCAGCACCTTTGGCAAAATCAAGGACAGGGTTCAGAAGATAATAAGCTCAGCTTTGCCCTTGGGCAGCCTAGGGAAAGTCCTGGTGGCAATGTCAGGCAGGCAGTTGTGATGTAAGCTGGGAACCCAGGCTAGACCCGAGGGCTGGAAAGCTGGGAAGTGTAGGCCATAGAGAAGATAATTGAATCTGTGGGAACTGATGAGGTCAGAGAGAAGGTGTCCAGAGAAAAGAAGAAAGCCCGGAACAGGGCAGAGCTTCAGCCAATCCATGGCCAAGTCCCTCAATGGACTACATTTCAACTGGCAAGAATGTGGCCTACAGTGAGGATGGTCCCTAGCCCAGGTGTGTAGATCTACATTTCCTGGGCACATCCTTCCTTGTCCCCAAGGGGCTGTCAGCCTCTCCAAGGTCACCCAAAGTCAGATCAGACATGATGCCAGGGCTCCTGGCCTATCAGCCCCCTAGTGCCCTCCCTAGGACAGCACCAGGTCCCAGGGTTAAAAGGAGCAGGAGAAAATTAAATTAAATCAAATTAAATTGTGCAAAGAATGCTATTCCAGACAGCTAAGGAAGGCCTTAGAGGCCTGCAGGGCCCCCTCCCTCATCCCGAAGCCAGAATAGGCAGATTTCCCTTGCATAATTCAAGTCATTGCAGGGATAGCTGTGCCCAGAAAATGCCCCAGGAGAGTGTGATGCCTAGACATCTGCCCCCACAGAAAGGGGCCCTTCTTTCTCAAACAGCTGAGCGGTGGGACAGAATTCTGGGTTCAGGTGAACTTGGTTTCCTCCTGTATGAAGGAAAGGGGCAGGACCAGACCAGGTGACCACCAAGGGCCCCTCCAATCATGGACAGTGACTGCGATGTGAGAAAGCCATCCTCAATCACGAGGATGGGCAGCCATCTGTAGGAGAGGGCCCACCACACACCCAGAGGACTGGATCCCAGCTCTGGAGCTGGAAGGGCCTCAGACAGTCTAGTTCATTCTCTTATTTTATAGAGGAAGGAAATGAAGCCCAGGGAAATTCAGTGAATTGTCCAAGGTCACACCAGAGGTGAATTTGAACCCAGGTCCTCTGACCTGGATTCATTGTACCACCCTGCTCCCAGGCCATACACCCCTATGTTTGTTTTGTCGGAGTGGGGCAGAAAAATCTCCTTTTGGGTTCCAGATCATAAATCTCTCCCGGCTGCAGAAAGGGGCCGTGGCCCCACTGTGCCCTGGCTGCACTGGGGAGCTTTCCTGCTGCCCAGTCTGGAGACCCCACCTACCGAGAGCACAGAGCTAACACGAATAAACTGTCCTTCCTAGGTTCAGAAGCCAAGGGTCTCATTGTGCTGGGGGACTCCGCCGCGGCCCATTTCCACATACCCCCGGAGTGGCTGACAGCAGAGCACATGTCTGTGGTAAGTACCATCTGAAGTGGTTAGCCATCAGGCTGCCGGTCTCCTCCTCTGTGCATCCTGGTGACCTGGGGCCTGGAGACACACTCCTCCTGCTGCCCATCCCCGCCAATCGATCAATAAACATTTATGAAGAGCCTACTACGTGCCGGGTGCTGTGCTAAGTGCTGGGGATACAAGAGGCAAAAACCAGTCCCTCCTGGGGCCCAAGCCCTGGGCCTGGACTCCGGAGACCCAGGGGCAGGTCCTGGTTCCTGCACTTCTCACCCTTGGGCCCTAGGGGCAGGCAAGCCTCTTCTGTTTCTTCATCTGGAAAGCAGAATATTTACATTTTGTCAATCATCATTGTTCAGTCATGTCCAACTCTCCATGACTCCATTTGGGGTTTCCTTGGCAAAGGTACTATTGTGCTTTGTCATTTCCTTCTCCAGCTCATTTTACAGATGAGGAGACTGAGGCAAACACCAGATTTGAACTCAGGTCTTCCTGACTCCACGCCCAGCGCTCTGTGCATTATGGCACCCCCTGGTTGCTAGAGAAAGGGGTCATCTTATTACCGCTGTCATAGTTATTGTTGGTATGGATCATTCAGCTCCCAATGGGTCTATGAGCTCAGTGGTGCAGGGTACCCCTCAACAGGGCAGACCCCATGCCATCCCCCACTGTACAAATCTCACTCCCATCCTCTGACACATCCTCAGGAAAAGGGTTGACTCCATGGATGAGGGTCTTGAGACCTTTTAACATCTCCCTGCAAAAATACTGTCGCCGGTCAGGCGTGCCTCAGCTTGCCCTGAATCCTTTTTGTGAACCAAAACAAACTTGTTTGTGCAGAAAGAGTCAAAGGAAAGCTCGTCTCCTGACTTTCTCAGCTCCCCACGGCTCGGGAGCGAGCCCTCCCTCAGCCCAGCGTGCAGGCTCCCTACCAAGTGGCCATCCAGGCCTGGTGTGAAGAGCCCAGGGGAGCAGGGATGGCCACCTCTACACCCCGTCCCTTCCACTCTGGGCCAGCCCTCCTGAGGAGGTCAGTGGCCTCTACCGTTAGCTCCCATGGCTTCCCCAACAACAGCCCTTCAGAGACTGGAAGCCAAGAGGACACATGGCCTCCAGGCTGAGCCCTCCCAGTGCCTTCAAACAAGCCTCCCGTGACCGGGACTCAGGACCCTTCGCCTTCCTTGTTTCCTCTCTCTGGATGGTTTCCTCCCAGATCTGCAGACCCTCCTCACAATGCAGCTTTTCCAATGCCTGCAGACACATCTCCTGTCCTCCTGAGCCTTCTCTTCAATGTCCCCTGATCTGCCATTTTCTGATTTTTCATCCTCAAAGAGTCTCAGAGCTGAAAGGGACTGCGGCTGAAAAGAATCTGCTCATAACACAAGGGATCATCTAGGCTTTGCCTGATGGCCTCTGCCTCTATGTAACCCATGCCGCGAAGCTGGGGCTGCGATTCAGTGAGGCCTCTAGAGGATGGATGGGAACCCCTGGGAGCTGACTTCAGAGCAGTAACAAACTATGGAGATGGGCTGAGTGCTGAAGCCACCCAAAGGCTATCATTTATCAATATCGATGGAAGCCTGATCCAGCTGGCGGGTCCCTGGACCATGGAACTGAGCCTATGTTTATAGCTCTCAGGTTCCCAAATCCAGAACTCCAAGGTCACCTCCAGATAGAAGCCCCCAAAGACTCTTCCCACCTGGGGAGGGCCGGGATGCTTATTCCAGGAAAGAGACAAGGGCCCCCTTTGGCCATCCTCTTCTCCTTTTGTTATCCCAAGTCCAGCTCCCTTGGCCTTTTGGGGGATCCAGGAGCTGGATCAGGCACCACCTGGCTCTCTCTGAGGCACAGCAGTGACCGTTCCTGGAGAGCAGGTGCTGTCCACGTCCTGCTGTCTTTGTCAGGCCCAGTGCAAATATTCAACATTAGCAGTTATTGGAGTAGCATTCGTTCCCCCCCCCCGGCCCCACCTATGAACAGCTGACAGATGGGAGGGCTGCTGAGGAATGGTAGGAACCAAGAACCAAGAATACTGGAGGATAAGGCTCTAGACTTGGAGTCACCAAGATCTGGATTCAAATCCCACCTCAGGTACCTACTGCAAGTCACAGCCTCTCTGTGCCTCTGTTTCTGCAACTATAAAACAGGGGAGCTGGACTGAGCTCTCAAAACCTTCCATCTCTGCATCTATGATCCTAAGACCTGGCTTCCAGTCCCTTCTCTGACACTTCTGTCTGTGGTCACACACTCACAGAGCTTCGGTTTTCCTAGAATGTAAAAAGCTGGTAATCATAGCACCTGCCTCACACAGCTGCTGAAAGACTAAATGAGAAACGGGCTCATGTGTACAAAAATATTTATAGCAACTCCTTTTGTCGTGGCAGAGACTTTCAAACAGTAGGGCATCCATCGATTGGGGGCTGGCCGAACCAATTACAGCACATGAAGGCGATAGAATACGGTCGTGTCTTAAGAAATGATGAAAAGGATGGTTTCCGAGAAACCTGGGGAGCCGTGTAGAAGTGAAGCAGGATGAAGTGAACAGAGCCAAGAGGACAATCTGTACAACAACAAGGATGTCAGAAAGACAAACTGCTTGGGGGCCCTGGCAACATGTGTCAACACAGCAACTGCCCCGCTCCAGGAGACGCACAATGAAAATGCACCTCTCTCCTGGGAGCAGGACTGCGCACACACGGGAGACAGACTGAGATGTGTCCTTTCAACAGTTTTTGTTCCTCTTGGCTATTCATGTTTGTGGCTAGGCTTTTGGTTTTTTTTCTTCCTTGGGTGGAAAAGACATAGGGAGGAGAGGAAGGGGATTTTCATTCATTGAGAAACATTTTGATTTTTTAGAAAAGGATTAAATGAGAGAATGAATGTCAGCCCTTTTCAGGATTTGCTTTCTGCCTTTGTGCTCCCAGTGCCTTACAGAGCCTGCACAGAGTGGATGCTTAAGAAATGCTTCTGGATTGATTGAATACTAAAGTGCTTCGCAAACTTGAAAGGGTTATGTAAATGTCATGTATAATGATTACCTCTTGGGGTCAAACTCAAACAAAGTCTCACCTAATTAGTCAAGGAGCAGCAAAGCTGACCATGGCATTGGCCATGGCAGTGACATCATTGACGCTAGCCATGACATCATTGACCATGGCAGTGACATCAACGACCATAACAGTGACATCATTGACCATGGCAGTAACATCATTGACCATGGCCATGACATCATTGACCATGGCAGTGACATCATTGACCATGGCCATGACATCATTGACCATGGCAGTGATAGCAATGTCATTTCAGTCTTTGTGATAATCACTGATCTGTTCTGAATCACTGGTGGTCAGGATCCTTATCTTTCTTTAATCCCAGCTCCAGTTCATGGAGAGGCCTAGGCCTGCCAGATTTGTCTCATGGTCTTCGAAAAAAATTGACAATAGACGTAAAATTGGAAGGCTGGAACCTTGGCTGGCATTGCCTCTTTCTGTCAATAGAAGCTCTAGGGGCACCAGCCCTGCTCATGCCCACAGAGATGCCAGACCGGTGAGATGATGGGCTGAGGTCAGGGAAGGTCCTTGCATCAATTCTGAGTCATCAAAGCTGAAGCAGCGGGGCAGTAGGAGCCCTGAGGTTACAAGAGATGTCTGGATTTTACATGTCACTCTCTCCAGGAGAAGGGAAAGATTGGAAGATGGCTTTGGGGAGCTCTCTGCTTGAGTAGGGATTGTCTCTCTGACCCTGGCTGGTGAGTCATTCTGAACTGGCAGGTGTTTAGGGGCATTAATGAGAATAATGTTATTGGTGGCAGGTCCCAGAGGATTCATGACCAGCTTTCCACACTTGCAGCATCCTGGATAATTGCACCCACACTGCCACACAAAGTGGTCAGCAGAACTCCCCCAATGTGCCGGCCAGATGGGCTTACTTTCTGAAGGGTCTCGGAGCCCCCATTTGCCTGCTTCCCCCTGAGGCTCCTCTCCCTTCCTCCCCTGCAGGTTGTGGGAGGAAGGATTCATCACATCACATCCCCAAGACCAGGACTGACCAAAAGCAGTGGCCACAATGGGCCAGTGCTGGAGAAGGGAGTCTGTGTGGGCTGCCAAGTTTCCCTCTCACTGGCAGATTCTGTGAGCTGTTGGGTCCCTTAGGGCAGGATGGTACATTTGGGCGTAGGGTCAGGAAAAACTTCCAGACACTCCCAGCTGTGCCAAAGCCAGTGGCTGTCTCTCTCAGGAGGTAGGGAGTGACTGAGAACTCGCAGGGGCACTCAAGCAGAAGCCAGATGGTGCAGAAGGGGATCTTATTCAGGTGTGGGTGGGACGGGTTGCCTCTAAGGGCTCTTCCATCTCTTAGGTAGCTCTGGGCGAGCTCTGCCTTGGTCTCACACAACTGGGAAATGTGAGGAGCCCCAGAGAAGTGCTGGGGACAGCCCACCCAACAGAATCTGAAATCAGAGCCCCTGCCTCAGATACTTACTGGCTGTGGGGTGGTGGGTAAGCATCACTGCCTCTCTCAGCCTCAATTTACTCATCTGTAAAGGGAGGGAGTTGAGCTTGCCAGGAGCCCTCCAGACCCCCTCAATGTTGCCCTGGTGCTCCAGGAATGGGGCTGTCAGAGTGACTCCTGGGACATGGATGATGTCCTCAATAACTCCCTGGGGGCTGGGGACCTGGAGGGAGGACTCAGGCCCCTACCAGGAGTCACAGACAGGTCCTCTGCCTAAGACCCTGCCCTCTCTCATTTCTTCTCTCCCAACTCGACCAGCTGGCAGGCTTAAGCAGGAGGTCTTGGGAAGGATGTCAGCTCCAGCATGGTTTTTTTCCTTGAATTGGGGATTAGCAGCTTCCAGGATTCAGGAATGCAGAGCTGTGGACAGGCTTTCAGGGCTGCTGAGGCCCCTCCTGCTGGGAACGTGGCTTTCAAATTGCTTTTGCTCCCAAGTGCCTGAGTGAAAGTGTCAAGGCCAGACCAGCAAAAGCAACTGAGAAAAACAGATGGGGGGGGAA